GACGGTGGTAGTGGTGGACGGTGGCGGTGGACGGTTGTGGTGGTGAAGAAAAGTAGAAAAAAAAGGAGAAGATGTTAGAAGACATTGGTTAATGTCTTCTCCAAGAAGATGCCAGGAAGACCTTTTGAGTGAAATGTCTTCCAAAAAACAAACAATCTGCAGAGTCCATCATCTGCGCGCGTATGCGCGGCGCAGACAAAAGACGCCAGAAGGTCTTCTGGCAGAAAAACAAACACCCCCTAATACTCTCTCTGTCCTCCATAGATCTTCTCATTAGCCCTTTTTATTTGTCCCACATTGATCTTCTCATTACCTTTTTTAACATTTAAAATACCACAACTACCCCCACTTACTTTATTTATTACACCTTTTCCACCTTATTTAATACACTCCACCCATTTACATTAAGGGTATTTTGGTAAACTTTCACTTTTTTTCAACTCTCCTTAAAAACCACAAAAAGTCAAAACGAGAAAATCTTAGGGGGACGGAGGGAGTACTTGATTGTGTTCTTAACAACACTACTAATGGTTTCAGTACGACACTAATTCTGAAATTATGACGAAGTTCAACATTTCCCAAAGAACAGCAAGTAACATCTGGAGTACTTGTTGGAACAAACTTAGAGAAAGATCATTGTTAGATGCAAGCAACAATAAAACAGGTAAAATTGGAAGAAAATGAGTAACTTTGGCACCCCTCAGAGTATAAATTAATAACTCATTGATTACTTCTGAGAAGTGAATCTAGTGCGTATAGTACTTCCTCAGTTTCTAGTTAGTGTTTATTCTAAAATCACAGAAACACACATTCATACAATAGTAAAAAAACACACGCACGTAGAAAGAGAAACATACTCCTTTGGAGTTCATGAGATGAACATACTATTTAGGACTATCCTAGAAACCCACTACGATTACCTCCACAGATGACAATCACGGATGATTTATACATACACAGACGATAATCATTTGTGGACACATACATTATTGTTTATCTATGTATAAAATTATCTATGATTGTCATCTGTGGAGCCACTCGTGGTGGATTTTAGCATTGTTCTACTTATTATGGATTTGTTCATGGGAGAAAAACTAAAGTAGGACTAAAACATTGAAAATACACCAAAATAGGACTTCCATGTTTTTATTCCCGAAATAGGACTTACATTACCAAACATGGTCATATACATTACCAAAAAAGTATAGTAATTTGCACATGTACACTGCCACATTATCACAATGCAAAGTTACATTACCACAGTGCAAAGTCTTATTCCAGGGAAAGAAACATGAAAGTCCTATTTTGGTCTTTTTCTCTATGTTTTAGTCCTATTTAGGATGATTTCTATTTGTTCATTGAAAGTTTTCACATCCAACTTCTTTTGATGTTAGAATGTAAATTCCCATTCACTGATTCAAGTAATTACAAAAAAAGTGGCGGGCAAATGAGCAACAAGTTCACTACAACCCAATTTTTAATAGCAACCCCGTTCTACTAAAAGCAACGTTATGTGCTAAACACAATAGGAGGTGCAGAGGAGGGCATCCATCACTATGCCCTTAAAAAACATATAATGAAAACCCCAAAAGTTAACATATTAGTTGTAGATTAAGCCATAGAAAAATAATGCTAATAGCATGGCTGTCCCCTATGATATACAAAAATGTCAAAAAGAAAGTATGATACAAAACTATTTAGAAGAGAGAGAAACACTATGAGTGAAATATGTTGTTTTTTTAATAAGAAGTAAAAGAAATGCAGTGTTTAAGAGAATGTAGAATTTAGTTAACAAAGGGAGAATGTATTTTCGTTTAAATTTTATTGGAAAATGCTAGGGTGCCACCACATGGGGGCTATCATGGGTGCACCCATGCTTCGCACAGACAAACACAGATGATAATTGTCTGTGTTGCACAGACAATTATCGTCTGTGTTTGTCTGTACGAAGCATGGGTGCATCCATGGTAGCACCTAGGGGTGGACACGGTACGGTTCCGGTACGGTTCCGGTTCCAGTACCGCCACCCCATGTCACCGGAACCGTCACCGTGCCGGCCGGTACCGGTTCCGGTTCCCGGACCGGCGGTTCCGGTACTGGACCGGCCGGTTTCGCCCCCCCCCCTATTTTTTTTTTTGCTTTTTTTAAAATTTTTAAGTATAAAATTTTAAATTTGCAATTGTTTAAGGAAAGAATGAAGTACGGGAATGTAGTTGTTATCTAAAAATGTAGTTGTTATTTAAATATTTTAAATGAATAATACACTAAGTGAAGAACAACCACATTTAATATCCTGACGGTTCAAAAAAAGCGACGAGGTAAATAACCGTAAAGAAACCCTCGAAGGAGCTTATATATCGCTCATCTAAAAAAAACTAATTACATATTTACATTAACAAAAAAAATTATAACTTATTCTTTAGAACTCGGACTTCCACCTGTTGTTGCATTCATGTAATGCTCCAATTCGAGTTGGTACGTTGACTCTTGAGCTCGACGTATTGCCAAGAGCCAATCTTGGTTGCAAACAAGTGTTTCAAGAGATTCAGCGCTAAGACAACTTCGAAAGTCGGTTAGAATGTTGCCGCCAGCACTGAATTCTCGTTCAACTGCTACGGTTGATACCAGAACGGATAACACTTGTCTTGCTAGCATGCCGAGACATGGGAACATGTGTTCGTTCCGTTTCCACCATCCGAGCACGTCAAAATCCACTTCGTCTTCATCGTAATCGCATGGCACACCCTGGTACATAGCAAGTTCGTTGTGCGAGCTTACTGTTGTACCACTTGAACTCGTCGAAGAATGAGCACGCTTCCCTTTCTTTGCAAGAAGCCCACCGACTATTCCGGCAAAACCTTTTTTTGATTTCGGGGGCGGAGGTGGTGCTGTTTCTTCTTGTACAGTGCCGTATAACCCTTGATATTCCTCAAACAAATTCTCAAAAAAAGTTACAGCATTATCTCTTTCTTTTTTCCATTCTACTAAATAAGAGTAGTAATAACTATTTTCATCTAAAAAACACTTGTAGTAATAATCAATTAAAATTTTATAATTTTCAATTTTAAAGCGTGGATCACAAATAATACCTATTTTATAAATATCAGGAATGTACAAATAATAAGAACACCATTTTTGTATCATAGGAGAGACATATGGGTACAAATCTGGATCAGCCTTACTTTCACGAAAACATGTTGCGATTGTAACGCACTCTTTTAAAAATGTATTTGTAGTTGGTTGGTAAACATGAGAAAAAGTAAGAGTTGCGTTATTAAAAACTTCTAATACGGCATTCAATTTTTCAACAAGTACAAATTCAAAAGGATCAATGATTATACGAAGTTCATCA